TAAGACTGGAGTACAATGGCATAATCTTGGCTCACTGCAACCTCTGCCTCCTGGATTCAAGCAATTCTCCTGCCCCGGCCTCCTGAGTAGCTGGGATTACAGGCGCACACCACCACGCCTGGTGAATTTTTATATTTTTAGTAGACACAGGGTTTCACCATGTTGCCCAGGCTGGTATCAAATTCCTCACCTCAAGTGATCCGCCTGCCTTGGCCTCCCAAGGTGCTGGGATTACAGGCATAAGCCACCGTGCCCGGCCCGATAAGCATGTCTCCCCACTGTGGGAACAGTGTGGGTTTTCCTTTACGAGCCTTTTCATAGTCAGGGAACTTAGGAACCATCAGGTGAGGAAACAGGGTCCCATGGTCCCAAGCCCGTCTTCCAGGCTGAGAAACAGGTTGGGAGACTGGGTGATGGCTGAGCAGAGACAGAGCTGCTTTGTGCAGAGAGGTCTCTGCAGACAGGGCTGTGGGGTCCTTTTTGGGTCTGGGGACCAGTTATCCTGAAGGGCGATGGAGGCGCCGTGCCCGTGGGGCCTCACCTGAGCCAGACTCACCTGTGGATGAGGAGGCCACTGTGCCGCTCTCGTTCACCTCGATCTTCACTTTCTGCAGTGCCTGCGCGACGTGGAGAGGCTCTTGGTCTGAAACAGATGTGGATACAGGAATAGATCAACTGTCGTGCTCAAAGAGATGTTCCTCTTCCCTCTTAGGGCCCCCCCGCACTCCACTGGGATAAGAAAATGCAAAGGAAAGTCCTCTTACCTGAAAGACTCGTGAAGTCCGCCTGGAATGGTCTGAATATCTCGGTCATTCCCAAGTTCTCTAGGGGTTTCCTGAGGTCGACTTCCGTCTCCAGGGAGAACCTGTGGATAGCAGCAGGCAGCTCAAGTTGCGGGTCCCCTTTGGCTGGCAGTCCCCCTTCTCTGTCCCCTACCAGGTGTCCCCGAAATACAGTGAACAGAATAGGAATGGAGGTGAAGGTTGGAGAGGGAGGCCTGGCTCTTTTTCTTTCTTTCCTTTTTTTTTTTTTGAAACAGAGTCTTGCTCTGTCCCCCAGGCTGGAGTGCAATGGTGTGATCTCGGCTCACTGCAGCCTCTGCTTCCTGGGTTCAAGTGACTCTCCTGTTTCAGCTGTCTCAGGAGCTGGGATTATAGGTGCTCGCCACCATGCCCAGCTAATTTTTGTACTTTTAGTAGAAACAGGGTTTCATCATACTGTCCAGCCTGGTCTCGAACTCCTGACCTCAAGTGATCCACCCACCTCTGCCTCCCCAAATGCTGGGATTACAGGTGTGCGTCACCATGCCTGGCCGGCCTCCTGGTTCTTTTTCAAAAGCTATTTGCAAAGTTCCCCTTATTGCTGGGATTCTAATATTCATCAACATTCTTCTGCAATCTCCCCACTCCCTCCCACCTATGACTAATTACTTTCCCCAAATAAGACAGTAGTTTCAGCATAATTTTATTCAGCCTGGCTGGGGCGGGGGAAGCCAAGGGCAAATTCTCCCCAGAGGATGCTGGAACAAAAATCTGGTCTGCAGATTGTGTTTCTGAGGGCCAATCCTGAAGAGGACTCAAGCAGGGAGGCTTTGGGCACTCTCTGCTTCCCACCAGGGCATGACTAATTACCTCAAATTTTATGAGCCAGAGAGTGAAAGAGAAGAAAAAAAAAAAAAAGAGGAAGAGAGAAAGAGAATGCAAGTGAGAGCACGCACCAGCTAAGCAACCAAATTCTCCTCTTTCCCCAAGCCTGGCATTATAGCATCTGGAAATTTGGGATGAGCGTGGTGGGAGGCTTCCCTATAATTCTGGAATTCCCCAGCTCCAGCCTTCTGGGTTTTGAAAAATCCCTTTGCTTCCTTCTGCAGAAGGATTTCGAAAAATCTGCTTTCTTGGAACCCCAGCTAAAAGCTGCGCTTTGAGGGGCGCCCTCCTTGAACACGATTTCTTTTGTTTGGATGTTGACTTGAAAGGGTGGGGGATGGGAATCTGATGGGGCCACCGTAAGTGGGTGTGGACTGATAGGGCCCCCACCTCCCTCATGTCTCTGGCTCTCCTTTTGGGGGCTTTTCTGGGGTATTCTGGGGATAGTCAATGTGGGAGTGTGGTCCGGAAGAGCTGTCCCCTGCCCTCCAGCAGAAACAGCTGGAGAGGGGATTGCGAGACTCATAATCAAATCCAGGCCACAGTGTTTCCCATCAGCCTCCCACGCATGCATGTCCCTGCCCTGCAAGCATCACGGATCTAGGAAATTCAGCCTGGGGGCGGTGATTTCAGCGAGCCTGGAGAGAGGGGCGGGCGGGTGGGGGAGATGGCAAAGTGGCTTACTTGGGCAGAACCAGGAGGCGGGGCAGCCTGGTCATGTTGCCTTTCCAGTGGCTGATGAGCTGGGCACTCAGAATGTTGGTGAGGGCAGAGAGAGGCACCTGTTTTTCATAAGGGGCAGCAATGAACATGCTGAGGGTGGTCCCGTGGTAGGGCAGCTCCAGGATGTCGTAGTAATGGCCGTCAGGTGTGGTGAACTCAGCTGTAAAGACAGCACGATGGCGCGTTGGACGTGACTCCAGCTCTCACTGACGGCAACCCAGCCCTGGGTTTTCACCTTGTTCTCCTGGCCTCTCCACTCTTTCTGGAAGCCAAGCTCTCTCTCCTGCCTGGCTTTTGGGGATCCCCTGTTCACTGCTCCCCTATTCAGTATTTTAATGTCCACTTCCCTTCTCTTCAACCAATTCAGTATCTTCTAATTTCTGGGTGCCTTTTTTTGGTTTATGTTTATTTTTTTTCTTAGAGACAGGGCTTCACTGTGTCACCCAGACTGGAGTGCAGTGCCGTGGTGCAGTCATAGCTCACTGCACCCTCCAGCTCCTGGTTCAAACGGTCCTCCCCCCTCAGCTGCTGCTTTTTTTT